CCCGTGCTGGGCTTGCTCCTGCTCCTGCTGCTCTCCATCCTGCTGCTCCGCAAGTCCCCGCCCCCCACCTGGCCCCACCTTCAGCTCAGCTACCTCCAGCCCCCCCCAGTGTGAGCTGCCCCCAGCACACCCCACTGCTCAATACCTACCCCCTTGACTCTGTTTCTGTTACATCCATGGCCTCAGAACTGTTTATACTCTGTGTTACCCTAGGATCAGGACCCCAGAACTAGGACTCTGGTTTTAGCTGTCCAGTTAGGAGAAGTCTCCTGCTTTTAACTGTTAGTCAGTGACTGCACTTCCCAGTGCCCAGCACCACCTCGTGCGGTGGGTAAGCAGGGCTTCTGTTCCTCCCAGCAAGTGCGAGGGGGGCCAGGGGCCAGGGTGTCCTCGCCCAGGTTGCCTCTCACCGCAGGAGGTCGCAGTCACACATCCCCAGAACAGAGGGAACAACCCAACAAACAATAAAACCTTCCAGAATATGTCCCTTCGTTTGTGTGTGTCTGTGTATGTGTATGTGTTTCTGTTTCTCCTTTCCCCCTATTATTTCCAAAAAAAACCTTTTTATTCCAGTTTTTTTATAAAAATAGATACAGTGCAAGGGAGCTCTGGTGGCAAGAAGCTGCACTGCAATCCCAGAGGTATGCGGTTCAAATCCACCAGATACTGTGCTGGAGAAGGAAGGGCAATCTCCTCCTGTACCAGTTCGATCTGATTTGACATACACACACAGAGGGGGGAAAAATTTTAAAAAATAGATACAGTGCAGAAAGAATACGTATCATTTCAGCAGATTCTCCGCGCACAATTCAGTGACACTGCCCTTCCGTATATAAAGACAAGCAGAACCCTCCCTAAGCTGCCAGACCGCTCACATGTGTGGCTTGTAAGCACAAGCCTTTTGCCATGACCCCTGCCAGCTGCAAGGGCAGCTGGGAGATCAGGCATCTCGCCTGGGGCGAGCTCCCCACTACCCAGCACAGTCTGGCAGAGATAATTTGGGGTTCTTGTTGGGAACTGTTGAGTCAGAACTGACCGATAGCTGACCCTCCACTGGGTTTCCAGAGGCTGTAAACTGCACAGGAAGAGACTGCCCATCTTTCTCGCGAGGAGCAGCTGGTGGATTTGAACCGCATGCCTTCAGGTTGACAGCACGGCTCCTTAGTCAGCCACGCGAGCTTCCTGCGTTTCAGACGGGCAGATGAAATGTCTTGCTGCAGCAGTTTATTCAGATCGTTGATTGCTCTGGCCACAGCCTGCATTGCCAGCTGCTTGGGAGACGCTCCTGGACACCTCTCGCCCTGACGTCGGGCCCTTTCTTCCTTGACCACACTGCTGTCCTAGGCCTTCCAGGTCCTGACTCCGTCGGGAGACCCTGTCCCAACAGACTCCTCCGGCAGGAGTGGGAGAGTGTGCTGACAAGCTCAGAACACCCCAAGCCCAGTGCTGCCTCGTCAAGTCCATGCCAGCTCACGGTGCCCCTGAGGGGCCAGGATCCGGAGCGAGGAGCCTTTATAGAAAAAGATTGTCGTCATGGAAATCTTCCTCCTGGGAGTGGATGACGGGTCAGAATCACCGACCTTTTAGTTAGCAGCCCAGTGCACCTCCAGATAATCCTTTCCAGTTAACTTCACCTCAGGGTCACCGCCTATTGCATTTCTGAGGCATTTCTAAATTCTAATGAGAGCAGACTCCCTCTTCTTCCCACAGGGCAGCAGGTGGATTCAAACTATCAACCTTCTGGTTAAGCAATCCACACTTAACCAACTCTAAAGCAGACCTCGCTCTTATTCATCTTGTTCATCACAGGGAACCAGGTGGTCCTTGGAGAGAGTGAAGAAACCCTCTGTGGGGCAGACACAGACTGATGATGTCTTCTGTTGTACAACTGAGAAATGGGCATGCAGGGCACTTGTTCACACCACTAGACGTTGGAACTAGACGTGGAGAGGCAAAGCCAGTAGGGAGACAGGCCTTCAGTGCTGGCTGGGGAGGCTGCATTTCCGCCCAGCGGGATGGGAGCATGGGCAGGCATGGCTGAGGGTTAGCCCATGTGGGCCAGTCTTAAGTACACGGCTGGATTAGCGTTTGTGATAATCATGAAACCTGGTCTAAATAAGATGAGTAACAGTCCATGGAGGATTTTGAACTTTGAGTACCTACAAAAGGGAGCTCTGTGAACACCCATGTTTATCGTGGCCTTGTTCAAAAAAGCAAAGAGTTGCAAACAACCCAAGTTCCCATCAACAAACTAATGGATAGAGAAGCTGTGGTATATTCATACAATGGAATACTACGCTGCATCGCAAAACAAGGAACTCATGAAATATTATACAAAATGGGTGACCCTGGAGGACATTATGCTGAGTGAAATATTCACAAAAGGACAAATACTGCATAGTGCCACTTGTAGAACGGAATTGACATCAGGGTTGAGGGAAGACGGGATAAATAATGCATGCTGCATTGAAACAGATGAGGAGAGAACTGTTTAAAAAGGATATGTGATTAGGTATTATTGTCATGACAGGAGTCCAGAATGAAGGCTGCATAGTGGAGTGGACCTGGGGGGAGGGATTATATAACAAAGAGTTTTGCTTTTCAGAGAGAAGAGCAAACTGGGTGGTGGTTGGGCAGGGAAAAAAGTGCTACAATTGAGTGAATGAAAATCCAAAGGCTCTGTAAATTTTCATTGAAATTAATTTTTAAAAAAGAATTAGAAAAAAGGGAGCTGGGTTGGCTCAGTGGTAAGGCATTGTGCTGCCAACACAAAGGTTCAGAGTTCTAACCCAGCAGCTGCTCCATGGGAGAAGAATGGGCAGTTTCCTCCCAAGTGACTTAGTGCCTCTGAAAACCCGCTGGAGGGTCAGCTGTGGTTCAGTCCGACCTGATGGTACACCACAACTACCACCCACAAAAGGCCCATGGGCAGGATCTGGAAAAGGCCATCTCAAGATTGAAGATGTGGAAGAGATACACAGAGTGAGAGAGGCCAGAAGCTGGGAGGTGGAGGGGAGCTGGGCAGGAGTCCGGGGTTCATGTGACGGGGATGAGTGGACAGCAGAGTGTGGCAGCAATGGGACAAACAGGAAAGACTCAGGACTGACCATCAAGAAGGGACAAGGACAGCATCAGCCTCCGGCCCAGTGACTGGCAGAGGGTGGGACTATTTCCAATGAGATGGATTGGATTTACGGGAGGAGAGGAGCTTTATTGGAGATGTGTGACAAGCTGGGGAGGGGTGGGTGTCCCTGAGATGACTGTTGACCTGAGTCCTGAGCCATAGAGGACCTAGAGGCCTGGTTGTCAGGTGGTTGGTGGAAGCTGTGACAGTAGGTCCAGTTTCCTTGAGGGAGGGAATTCGAGTGGGAAGAGAAGGGGTTCCCGGCAGAACTTTGAGGACCGAGGGAGAAAGTGGATGAGACCAAGAGTCAGACACCCAGCTGCCAATAGAAAAGTTGAAGGTTCATTTCCACCCAGAAGTCCTTGAGAAGAAAGGCCTGGCAATCCAGTGCCGAAAACTCAGCCTCTGAAAACGCCGTGGAGCACAGGGCCCGTCGTCGCATGAGGCAACTGTTTGTTGTTTTATTTAAAAGGAGAAAACAAATGGGAGGCCAGGCCAGGAACCACCCAAGCAGGGGACCCTCCTGCAAAAAGAGGAGGTTGGATTAGACACCAACGCAGCCTTTAGAAGAGAGCCTGGCGAACAGTTAACTGTATATTAACACGTTAATGTTAATCAACTCTGTGAACGTAGTGGGAATTCCAGGTCTCTGAAGCTGCACAGACTGAGGTTCCCACTATCCTTCTCCTTTCAAACGCTGACACTTGGGAAAGACTTGTTTATTAAAGTTGACCTAGTCCAGGTGATTTTGAGGATGGCAGTTTTTCTTACTCTGGAAAAAAACAAGACATAGTCCCGCCCACAACTCCAAAGGGCCAATTAGGGAGCGGTCCGCTTCCCGGAAATGCAAATTCGGAATGGTCTCGCCAACTCCCGGCTCACAGAGGCCCCCATGCTCCACCCTCTTCTTGTCTAGACCAATCAGAGCACGGTCCTCCGCCGAGGACTGAGCGTGGTAGCGCCTGCTGCAGCCACTGGGTTGCCATGGTCACCGTTGGGAGGCGGGGCTGTCAGGTCAGCCAGACCGCCAGAGAGAGAGAGGTGAATTCCAATTGGCTGCTTCCTTTGCTTCACCTGAGACCCAGGTGTCCACGCCTGCCCCTGTCATTTCCCTCGGGGAGCTGACACCTGGTTCCTCCTCACCCTTCCTCCTGCCGCAGCCTGGCCCCCTGAACGTCCCCGGAGAGGGAGAAAACCCTGAAGAAACCGCTGGAGGTTGCTAAGAAAAGGGCAGAATCCTTTCCTTAGACATTTTGCTACATGCCCGGCACTGTGCTGGCTCTCTCAGGATGTATCCAGTTTAATTCTCATCTCAGATGAGAAACTTAAGGCTCAGAGAAGTTTAAGAGGCCCCCAAAGGGCACAGCGAGTGTAGGGTGTATCTGGGTTAAATACTAGAAGCTCTGGTAGTACAGTGTTTAAGCGCTTGGGCTGCTTGGAGAAAGGTCTGCTTTTTTAAAACCCATCCACGGGGAGAAGATGAAGTAGCCGCTTCCAGAAAGATGCTGGCATTGGCTATCCTAGAGGCCAGTTCTACTTTGTCGTACAGGGTCGTTCTGAGTCAGAGTCGACTCAGTAGCAGGGCTGGGGAAGGGTGCTCGATGTCAGGTCCAACCCAACGAATAAAAGGAGAAGGGGGCAAAGGGCGTGAGGGAGGAGATGCGCCAATCCAGAGGCAGTGAGAGCCTGGAGGGGTCAGATCGAATACTGAACCAGAGACCCAAGGAAGACAGAAACGGGAGGTGTGCAGGAGGAAGGAAGGAAAATCAAAAGGAGATGGGGAGGCAGCTTTATGGAGGCAGAAAGGAGACTCCCAGAGGTAAGGAAGCCAGAAGGGTAGAAAGATATACAGAGAAATAGAGTTTCAGAGAGTAGGGAGACAGAGACCCAGTGAGAGAGACAGGGATCCAGAGTGAGAGGGACAGGGACCCAGAAAGAGAGGGACAGGGGTCCAGAGAGAGAGGGACAAGGATTCGGTGAGGGGGACAGGGATCCAGAGAGAAGGAGACAGAGACCGAGAAAGAGGGTAACAGAGACTGAAGAGATGATGAGAGAGAAAGGGACAGAGACCCAGAGAGAAAGGGGGACAGAGACTGAGTAAGAAGGGGACAGAGACATAGGGGCGGGGACCCAGAGGGAAAAGCGAACCAGGTCAGGCAGGAGCGCGCGCCCTCGCGCCGGCCCCCTCCCCGCTCCCCGGCCGGGCGCGCAGGAAGCAGCCGCAGGCGGAGGGCACAGCGGGGTCTTTATTGGGCCATCAGCGCGCGTCGAGCACCAGCAGCTTGTGCATGTACGAGTTGAGCCAGTGGCGGCGCTCCAGGGCAGCCAGCAGCCGCGCGCGCTCCCGGAAAGCCGCGTCGTCCGCCAGCGCCAGGCTCCGCCGCGCCAGAGGGGAGCCCGCGGCCGCCCGGGCCCGCTCGGGGGTGCGGAGGCTGCGGGGAGACCGAGACGCCCCGTGACAAGCGGGCCTGGGGCCCCACTCCGCCCCGTCCCCCGGGTCTCCCTCCCTCGCGGAGCTGCGTCTCGGATCCCTAACTGCGCCCAGGCCCTCGGAGCGCGCCTGTGACACGGGGGAAACTCAGTCATGGTTCAAGAAGGGGAGCCGCTTGTCCGCCTTCTTTCCAGTACCCCAATGCTTGGCTTGGGTCTCAGAATCTACGCTTCGAAATCTACTTTTCTTGTTTAACTCTGTCGGGCCTCCTCCTCGACTTCTTGGTCTCTGCCCCTACCTGAGTGCCTGCCTGCCCTTCTCTTTTTTTCTTTGGGTCTCTGTTCCCCCTCTGGTCTCTGTCATCCTCTCTCTCTGGGTCTCTGTCTCTCTCTCTCTTGTCTCTGTCCCCCTTTCTCAGTTTCTGTCCCCACCACCCATTCTCTTTTTAAATCTACCCCTCTAGCTCTCTGGGTTTCTTTCTCCCGTCCCCTCTCTCTCTGGGTGTCCCCCTCTCTCTCTGGGCCCTGTCTCCCTTCCCTCTCTGGGTTCTGTCCCCCCCTCTGAATCTCTGTTCCCTCTCTCTCTGGGTCTCTGTCCCCCCTCTCAGTTTCTGTCCCCCCCATCTCTGTTACCATCTCACTTTCTCTCTCTCTGAATCTCTGTCCCTCTCTCTGGGCTCTGTCCCCCTCTCTCTCTGGGCCCTGTCTCCCCTCTCTCTCTGGGCTCTGTCCCCCTCTGAATCTCTGTCCCCTCTCTCTCTGGGTCTCTGTTCCCCCTCTCAGTTTCTGTCCCCCCATCTCTGTTACCTTCTCACTTTCTCTCTGAATCTCTTTCCCTCTCTCTTTCTCTCTCTCTCTCTCTGGGTCTCTGCCTTCCTTTCTCTGAGTCTCTACTCTTCTCCAGAACTGTATCTGTCTCCCTCTTTCTAAGTCCCTATCTCTAGATCTGTCTCCCTTTCGTTGTCTGAATCCCTGTCTCATTCTCCAGGTGCTAATTTCTCTCTCTGGGTCTCTGTGTGTTTATCTCTCTCTGGGTCTCACTCTCTCTCTCTCTCTGTCTCTCTTTCTCTCTTTGACTCTATTTCTCTCTCTGGGTCTGTCCCCCCCCCACTCCCGGCTCTCTGGGGTCTCTATCCCTTCCAGATATCTCCATCCCTTCCCCTAATCTCATCCCCCTTTCTCTAGGTCTCTCCCCGCCCCTCTACCTGGGTCTCTTCCTTTCCCTGGGTCTCTACCCTCCTTTCTGGCTCTCTCTCCACCACTCCGGGCACCTCCCTCCCTGGGAGACCTCACCCCACACACCTGAGTGCCGGTCTGGGCGGCAGGGCAAGTCCGGTGGCTGGGCAGACACCCCAGGGCACCAGCAGCAGGAGCAACAGCAACAGCTGCACCCGGGGGCTTCTGGGCACCTGGCGAGTCTCCATCACCTGTGAAGGGAGAAGGGAGCGCTCAGGGACACCCAGGTCCCCTCCTAGACAACAAGAGCCCTCCCAAGCCCACCAGCCCACCCACAGGGGCCCCCTACCGCGCAGTGGGCTCAGACAACGATGCTGCGGGCCCCCTTATATCACCTCCACGGCCCCCGCAGCCGGCAGTGACGCAGGCTGGGGGCCGGGGGCGCTGGGTCTGCCCCCCCCAAGGCTCATTAGGAACTGCTAGCGGTAATGAGGAGCCGGGGGTGGGGGCCTGCCGCTGCCTCAGTGGCCATCAACTAATTGGGACCAAGAGCTGAGACCTAAGAGAGAGAGAGAGAGAGGAAGAGACAGAGAGGTGGACAGGGGGTGGGGGGGTCCTGTGGGATAAAAATAGAGGCTGTTGGAGGGGCCGTCAGAGAGGAAGACAGAGACACAGGTTCGAAGAGGCAGCAAGGCAGTGGCTAGGGGAGAGAGAGGAGGCAGAAGGGAGGGGAGGGGTCCAAGGAGGAGTAAGAGAAGGAAGGCTGGAGGGACAAGACCCTCAGAAAGATCGAGGGAGAAGGACAGACGGATGCTGGTGGGGAGGGGAGCGTGAGGCAGAGATTCTCACTCCAGGCAGAAGGAGAAGCGGAAAGACAAGAGTGACAGGCATGGGGACCCTCAAGAGAGGGCAACAGGGTGTGAACTGGAGGTGAGGAGAAGGCATAAGGGAGACAAAGCAAGCGGACATTCTGGGGACCCCCTTGGGGAGAGGAGACGAGGCCTGGCTGCACTGGGCAAGTGGCTATGTCCCGAGCACTCCGGGCATTTACGGTTCCTCAGTCCACTCATTGATGGGAATGGGGTCTCCTGGAAGGTGGGGAAGTGGGTGAACGCTGTGAAATCAACCTGGGTCTCTGATGGCCAACACGTGGGCTCTGGAGTCCTGGTTCCGAGAGAGGAGGGTGCTCTGGCTCTGGGTTTCAGGGTCTGAGCAGGGAGGGACAGGGGCCTGCATGCCTGGAGTTTGGGGGGGGGGAAGTGGACTGAGGGAGGAGACTGGATTCCTGGGGAACATGCTAGAAGTGGGGTCCTAGTCGTCTGGAACCTTAAGAGGAAGGTTATGGAAATTTGGGTTTGTGGGAGCTTGGGCTGGGATCTTGACTCCTATCTCTGGGGACAGGGGCGGGGATTGGACTCCTGAGTGTGAAACAGAGGGAGGTGTGAGGACCTGGGCTCAAGGGTTAGAGGGAGTGGGCTGGGACCTGCACTCCTGAGGAGAGGGGGCTGGGGATCAGGATTCCCGCATCTGAGGAAGGAGGGAAGGGGGGGTGGGGGTGGCTGAGCCCCTGAAGGAAGGCGGTTGGGGTCCAGGACTCCTGGATTTTGAGATAGGAGGGTGCCAGAGATGCCTATTCTTGGTTTTGAGGGAAGGAGTGGGTTAAGGACCCAGACTCCTGGGTCTAAGGGAAATCACCTTGATGGGGCTCACCCCTCTATCAGATCGTCCCCTCCCTAGCGCCCTTTATTTCTGTTCCTTTAAGAGCCCAAGACCGTGACTAGGCTCCCAGAGTCCCTGGGGGGAGGTCAGGTGCGTCACCTGCGCCCCTGGGACACTGCTTCCCCCACCACACTCGGCGCCATTCTGCAGCATCCACCTATCTGCTCGCAGCTCGGCTCACCTGCTGTTGTCTGGGGCCCCAGTGGGCAGGTAAGAGACCCGGGGTGCAGCGCCCACCGCCACCTGACCCAACAGCACCTCTCCACACCCCAGCTTGTCCCTCAGAAGGGTTCAGCCCCCATCTATAGATATCTCTCCTCTGTATTCCAAACTGCCCCAAACATTGCCCCCCTCAAAATTCTAGGCATCTGAACTTCCAGATTAAAGAGCAAGAAATTTAGACCTCCAGGTCCTGTTGCCTCAAACCCAGGAGTTCTGGTTTCCAGCCTCTCCTCTCTCAGACCCGGGTTTCCAGGCCCCTCCTTCCTGCAAACCCAGGAGTCCAGGCCACCAGGCCCTCCTCCCTTGGAGCCAGCGGTCTTCATCCCTATCCCCCCACCTCCTTCAGACAAGACTCCGAACCCTAGCCTCCTCTGCAGCTTCCTTCAGTGCAAGCAGCTATTGCCTCAAAGTGGCTGAGAGTTCCTGCAAGGGATCCCTGCAGCCTCCCTTCGCCCAGGCTCTAACATACTCCAAAGACAGCCAAGGAGGAACGTGGGGTTGGTTGGAGAGGTGTCACTCTTTCCCAGTTAACCTGGGGTACCCCTAGGGCTAAGATGAGGTTAACTACGATTCCCGAGAAGCCCTGCGCTTCATCTCTCATAGCTACGGGCCACCGGCTCGCTGCCCTTGGGGAGTTGCTGCTGGGTTCCCTTCCTTTCCTTGGCGCCTAGCTGAGCCCCAGAGAGGACAAGCTGGGAGCAGTGGGAGGGGCCTAGGGTGGGCGTGGTCTCGTGAGAGTGGGCTGTGCTTGTGTGGGCGTGGTCTCCTGTTGTTTGAGCGTGTGTGTGCGTGGTCTCTAATAATGGGTGTGGGGGCGTGGCCTCCGGTGGTCTCCAGCCTTAACCCCTTCCTCTCTGTTCGCCCCTAGATAAAGCATCTCCTGGAATCATGAAATCATTCTGCCCAATCTTCTTCCTCCTCCTCTTTCTCCTGGCCGGGCTAGGCTCCGAGGCTGCCCCTTCGTCCCCACCTCATGCCAACTCCGACTTTCCAGAGGCTACTGGCCCCTCGGAGACCTCCTCTCCAAGCCCTTCTGAAAATTCCACTCCAGAACAGCCTATCGCAGAATCCCCTGGGATTCTTCTTCTGGATCCCCACCCGACACCCCACTCAGTTTCTCCTGAGACCTCCCCCGCTGACCTCACTGAGACCCCTACCCCTGCCCTCCCGGAAACCCCACACCCAGAGACCCCCGAAGCCCCCCAGACTACCTCTTACAAAATCTCAACTGTAGAGTCGCCAGGGTCCACAAAACCTAACGTTTCAAAAACAACACAGCCAGAACTCTCTGAGATCCCTGAGCATTACTCTACAGAAACTCCACAACTCGGATCCCAGGAGACCCCCAACCCTAATTCCTCCAAATCTTCTCTCTCAGAATTTCCTGAAACCCCAAATCCTTTCCTGACTGAAACTCCCCAGCAAGAACTCGCTGAGATCCCCAAACTCAACTCCACAGAAATTTTAAACCCAGACCCTGACCCCACTCAGACCCTGGACCCCCAAACTCCAGAGGTCTCTGACCCTCACACGACTCAGACCCCAAATTCTGAATTCCCTCAGACTCATTCAGACCCCACAGAAACTCCCCATCCAGACTCCCTCGTGAGTCACAACCCAGCTCCTACTAAAATTCCAGAAACAGAATTCCCCACAACTGGCCATCAAGATGCAACAGACAGCCCCCTGACCTCTAGCCCTAAACTCCCCACTACTCTCCACGCAGATGTGCCTGTACCCCCAAAAGATAAAGCTACAGCCTCAAACGAGGTGCCCCTGGATCCCACAACAGACACCCTTGCAAGCACCCAATCTGCCTCCCTCAAATTACCTGCCTCAGATTCTCCAGGAACCATTGAACTGAAGGTCCCTCAGAACCCTGGCCCTAAAGAGCCCGATACCCCTCCTCCCGCAGTTCGGATTGCAGGACCCCCTGCCCCTCCAGGGTCCCCTAGTGAGCCTGTGCCCGTCACCCCACGGGCCCCCCAGCGGCGCAACAGAGGCGACAGAGTAAATACAATCATTGTAGTGGAACGTGTGAAGGAGACAGGTAAGAGGCCTGGTAGGTTCGAGGGAGGCCCAAACTCCTGGGTTGGAAGGAAGGAGCTGGGGGGTCAGAACTCCCCGGGCCCCAAGCAGTAGCAGGGAGCTGGGACCTCTGGGTCTGGGGCACAGGGGGCTGGAGGCCCAGATTGCTGGATCCCAGACAGGAAGGCCCCTGGAGCCAGGAGGGGCTGTGAGTTTAAAGTTTCTGCCTCCTTCCTAGGTGTGACTTTAGTGGGGCGCCCTCGGGGCGTAGCTGGAGGGGCCCTGTGCCTCTTCCTGGCTGGGACCGGACTCCTGATCGGCATCTTCCTCCTCCTGTGGTGTCTCTACCGACGGGCAGCTCGGCACCGGCCCTTCGCGCACCACCGGCTCCCGAACGACGACGAGCCAGGTGAGTGCACCCCTGTCCTCTGTCCCAGGAGGACACCTGTCGCCTAGTGTCGTCAAGAACTGAGGGCGGCCCGCAAAAAAGAACCGCAAACAGCCTCTTATCTAAGGCCAGTGAAAGCCCAAAGCGCTCCAGTGTCAGGCCCTGGGTCTCATTTAAGGCGTACTTTTCGGTGCGCCCCCAGGCCCTGCAGAGAATTGCATCAGGCTGGAACCACAGGCCAGAAAAGCCCCGCCCCTGAAGCACAGACCACGCCCCTGCGACAGAGACCACGCCCTGCGCGTTGAGGCCACGCCCAGGCGCACAGAAAGCCATGCCCCCTGTCTAATCAGGGGCGGAGATGGTCTGACTCCTCCCTCGGGTCGCCTCATTGGCCAGTGCACTGCAGAGGGTCCTTGGTCTCTGACAACTTGGATAACCCCTCTTCGTTTTGCCCCCCAGTTATGCACCTGGACACCCCAAAGGACCCCTACGACCTCTACTTTTATGCACCGGACGCCTGGGTCCCTTCACACATCGCCACCAAGCAGCTGCCGCCCACCCCCCCACTACCCCCCAAGCTACCTCCACCACCCCGCGGGGGGCCCCCCCAGCGCCTCGAGGCGCTGTCTCCTGCCACGCTCCCCAACAACTTCGTGTGAGCCCGACCGAGGGCCCCTCAGGCCTTCACATCCCCAGGTGCTGGGTCCAGTGCTCTGGGCAGCTTAGTTATATAGCGGTCCTCTCACATAGAGTCCCAACCGACAAAGATGCTTTCGCTGTGATCTGAGAACACGTCCTGAAGTGGAATAAATCACGTGTTCCCAATGTTGATCACTTTCTCTGGCCGGAGTCGTGGGGAGGGAAGGGCTGGGTCTGAGGCTGGATCTGAGGCTTCTGGGTTGAGGAAAAGGGTCTGAGAGAATCCTATCTTGGAGGAGGAGCACGGGACTGGCGTCTAAGGTTAAAGAAATGGACTCTTGTGTCTGACAAAGGAGGGTTTGGGAGCTGGACACCCGAGTCTAAGGGCAGAGGAGGGGATTGGACGCCTGGATCTGAAGGAGGCGGGTTTGGGAGCCGAGATTCCCAGGTCTGAGGCAGGAGGGTCTCCTGTGTCTGAGGATGGAGAGGCTGAAGGCTGACTCCTGTCTCTAAAAAGAGCAGGTTCTCGGAGAGACTCGCCTCCCACATCTGAGGGCGGAGGGTCTCAGGACAGAGTCCTGGGGCTGTAAGAGGACGACGATCTGGGGTTTGACTCTTGGGTCTGAGGGAGGAGGGTCCCAAGACTGACTCCTACATCTGAGAGTAAAGGGTCTGGGGGCTGAGTCTGGCATCTAACTGTAGAGGAGCTAAGGGCTGTTAGGTCTGAGGGTGGAGAATTTGGGGGCTGACTCCTGGGTCTAAGGACTGACTCCTGAGTCTACGGGCTGACTCCTGGGTCTAAAGACTGACTCCTGGGTCTAAGGACTGACTCCTGGGTCTAAGGACTGACTCCTGAGTCTAAGGACTGACTCCTGGGTCTATGGGCTGACTCCCATGACTGGGGTACTGGGGACTGACTATTGGGACTGAGAGAAAAGAGCCTAGAAGCTGACTCTTGGGTCTGAAGAGAAGGGATTGAGGGCTGATTCCTGTGTCTGAGGGGAGGAGGGGTCAAAGACTGTCTCTTGGGTCTGAGGGAGGAGGTTCCCAGGAATGACTCTCATGTCAGAGAGAAGAGGGTCTGGAGGCTGAGTCTTGGATCTGATGGGAGAGAAGCTAAGGGCTGACTCCCACGTCTGAGGAAGGACAATCTGGGGACTGACTTGAGTCTGAGGGAAGAGGGGAATCTGGGGGGTGACCTTTGGGCCTGAGGAAATGGAGGACGAGGAGGAGGGGCCAACGACTGTGAGTCCAAGGTCAGTAATGGCTGAGTCAGCGCACCAGAGCATTTCATTTATTGAGAGTGGGGCAGGGCAGGTTTCACAGTCACAGAGACGACGAGACACACAGACACAACCCTGCCCCAGGGAAAACACCCCTCTCTGCCATCCCATTCCCTTTCCTGGGATTTTTTGTGTGTGTGTGTGTTCTCCAATACATGTTCCCCAAATTCTAAACTGAAAGAGGGGTGTCTGAGAGGTGAAGGATCCCAGATATATTTTTTTTTCTTTAGTCACTTGTCCCCTCAGGGACACAACAAATGGCCACTGAGAAACTGAGGGTAGGTTCGAAACTACCCTGGAGGATAAAGTGCAAGGAATTAGGGGGGAGGGGAGGCCTTGAAACCACCACGGGGAAATTCAACGGTAGTGGCTTCTAACCATTGAGATGATGGACTTGAAAAGCCCCTGTTTAGACCTGAAACCCTACCCAGAAAAGTGCGTTGGCCTGGGGAGAGGCTATTATTAAAACCACCATTTTGGTGTTTCCCGCCCCCCCACCCCCAGGCATTGTGCTAAGCTAGGGAGAAAGTTTGGGAAATTTGGTGTTTCAGCAAAAGAGAGACTTTAGAATCTGCGACAGTGGGATGAATAGCAGGAATTGCATTGGGATTGGGGAGGGGGGACTTGAAACCGCCATTTCCCCTCAGAAACGCTGGTGAGAATCGATCCCTGGAACGGCGGGGATGAGAGGGTAAACCCAGAAATGTACAGAATCGAGCTGGGGGAGATTTGGAACTTCTAGACAAATCTTTCTGAAAGGAGAAGGGATGTAGGTGGGGGGAAAGGGGAGGGGGAAGGTTTGCTGGGTAACCCCAAGGAGTAACCTGACAATCCCTGGGGTTAAAAGAAACAAAAAGTGCCTTAAAACCACAAGAAAAGAGTAAGAAGTTTGACTGTCCATTGAAATAAAGCCCTGAAAGGAGAAATCTGAAACCACTGAGGCAGACGAGTGGGGAAAGGAGACCCGGTAACTTACTAGGGAAATGTGGGTATCCTTGAAACTGCCAGTCTGCAGCCTCACTACCCCTGAGAGGCGTCTGGGAAGAAGACTTGACGGCACTGGGAAGGAGGGAGAGTGCTTTCTGAGGCCTGAGGCAGGGCAGAGAGCAGTGGGGGGTTCCCTTCGCACTGCAGCTCAGGCCAGAGGTGTGTGCAGTGGGGGTCCTGGAAACTGCCATTCAGTGGGAGGCACGTGGTCAGTAATCCCGGACCGGGGGCGGGGGCCTTGGGGGTTGCACTGTGCTGTGTGTGGCCCCATACGAGGGAGGGGGAGCAGGGGGTGCCCCGGGGGGCTCAGCTTCGTCCTCCATTTCACTGTCATCACTGCCAGCCAGCTGGTCATGGCCAACGAAGCCACACTTCTCTTCGCTCATCTCCTCAGGCTCCGCCCACGGCTGCTTCTCTCCAGAAGCAAAGACCCCATAGAAGATCACGCCCCCATAGTGCACCAGAGAGGCGATTAGGAACACGTACTGCCACTCCTCCCGCGTCTGTGAGGGGACAGGAGGAGAGAGGAGGCCACAAAGGGCAAAAGCCAGGTTATCAGACGCTGTCCGGTGGATTTCAACACATGCCCTCCCCATGCAACAGAGCAGATCTGCCTCCACTGGTTTTCCTAGGCTAGTCAATATTTATGAAATGGCTAGATATTTCTTCTGGGATCGAACCACCAACTTTCCCATTGGCAGCTCAGCCTTGAACTATTTTGGCACAAGAATTTCTTGAAGATCAAATAGAGGAATTAGAAAACAAATAAAACGAGGGAAAATCAGAGAACCTCAACAGAGGTGAGGGGGTGCAGCAGTTCAGAGAGATGGCAACAAAGGCCCAGGGCAGATTAAGGACATGATTGAGAACGTTAAAAACAAAAAGAGTTGCCTCTCAATAGATTCCAAATAATAGTGCGCCCACGTGTTACAGATTAGAACTATTCCATAGGGTTTTCCAGAAAGTTATCTTCGGGCTCTTTGGTGGCCTCGTGGTAAGATGCTGTGCTGCAATACCAAAGGTATTTAGTTCAAATCCACCAGCTGCTCCTCAGGAGAAGGACGGGCAATCTCCTCCCTTGCAATTAGCTGCCTCTGAAAATCCACTGGAGAGTCGGCTATGAGTAAGTTTGGATTTAAGAGCACACAAGAACAACAACATCCTTATGAAGCTCTGATGGCATAGTGCATAGGGGGTTTGTGCTGCCAACCTAAAGGCCACGCCTCTCTGCTGGTTCGAATCCACCAGTAGCTCCAAGGGAGAAAGTAAAGCATTCTCCACTCTGGTGATTTACACCCTTCTATTACGGATAGTGAAGAGATTGAGATTGTTAACAACTTTAGTTTGCTTGGCTCCACAATCAACACTCTGGGTACCAGCAGCCAGGAAATCAAGAGACAAATTACAATGAGAAAGTTGGCTGTCAGTGCCCTCTACAGAGTACTGAAGAGCAACAATGTCAGTCTGGAGACTAAGGTGCGCCTGATTCAGTCCATAGTCTTCGCAGTTGCTTGCTATGCATCAGAAAGCTGGACAGTGACTAGGGATGATAGAAGGAGAATCGATGCCTTTGAGCTGTGGTGCTAGAGAAGAGTATTGAGCATACCATGGACTGCTAGGAGAACAAACAGATTCATCCTTGAGAGAGTTAAACGAGGCTGCTCCTTGGAGGCAAGGATTCTGAAGCTCCATCTGACATACTTTGGACATGTTACAAGGACGGACCAGTCCTTGGAGAAGGACGTCATGCCTGGGACGGTGGAGGGACAGCGCAAGAGAGGAAGACCCTTGATGAACTGGATTGATTCAGTCACTGGGGTAATGAGTGTAGGTGTGTCAGGGACAGTAACGTTGGCACAGGATAGAGCAGGGCTTAGGGCTCTTGTGTGAGGTCGCTATGAGTCGCAAGTGACTCGATGGCACATAACAACAGCAACATCCCACTGGAGGGTCAGCTGCGGATCGGTTCTGACGCAACTGTTGTTGTGTACCATCGGGTTGGAATCAACCCATAACTGCCCCTCCAGTGGGTTTTCACAGGCATTAAATCGCATGAGAAGAGATTGTTCATCCTCGGAACTGCATGCCTTTGGGATTGCGGCACAGCTTCTTGCCATGATAATATGCAGCGACTTAACAACAAATCCCACTGGAGGGGCAGTTTATGGGTCTATTTTGATTCAAAGGCAGTGAATTTTAGTCATTTTTAGAGAAGCAGAACACCAGGCATTTCTTGCGCAGAATCACTAGGCAGTTTGAACTGTCATGTTTTAGGTTAGTAAGTCTGGCGTTTCAGTAGGTTTCAAGGAGCTCTGATAGCCTAGTGGTAAGCAGCTGCACTGCAGTCCCAAAGATAAGTGGTTCGATTCCACGTAGTCTCCTCAATTTACTGCCTCTGAAAACTCGCTGGAGAGTCAGCTATGGATGAGATCCAACTCAATGGCACACAACAACAACAACTGATGTTTAACCACTTGTGCCAAGTAGGGACCACAAATTGGAGGGAGAGGACAAGCGGGTCTGGGTGGGCACACAGACCTTGTGCTTAGTCATGGCGCCCACGATGATGGGGCATACCATGCCCGACAGCGTGCCCACGCCGTTGGAGATGCCCATTAGGATGCTAGCGTAGCGCGGGGCGATGTCTAGGTGATTCACGTTGAACCCTGGCAGGAGGCAAGGGGAAAAAAAAAACCCACCTCTCAGGAATCTCACTCCTTCCAGCCACACACCATCCCCGCCCCCCCCCCAGCTTTTTCTTAATCCACCTTTTATGAAGCAAGAGGTCCCTCCTGGGTCAGGGAGTTTCCTAAAGAGCAGACCCAAGCTCCCGATAATACGCAATCCTCACCCGAGATGGCGAAGCCACTGAAGCCCACGGCGAGGACCAGAAAGGAGATGGCCACACCTTTGGAATGCGAGTAGCCAACCACCAGCAGCAGGGTAGCCTCCATTCCGAAGCCTGAGGAGGGTCACCAGCCTCAGGGCCTGCTGGGGTGCAGGTCGCCCCCTCCGACTCTCTGGGTCTGTTCCAGGGCCCTACCACAACCCAGCTTTGTTCCCTCCCACTCTCCACTCTTAAACCTAATCCAGGCCTAGTTCTCACTTCTAAATACTTACACTTAACCCTAATCAAGCATTTACATCCCTCAGGCTAAACTTTCATTCCCACTTCTAGTTTTCTCTGGGTGCCCTCGCCCAGGCCTCCACCTTTCCAGCCCCGCCCCTTTTGCCATAGAGATCCGCCCACCAATCTGGGCTCCACAAGTCAATCCTGGTGCAGAACTGGCCCAGCATCTCCAAAGCCACACCTTTTGGGTGTCTCAGCCGGACAAGACCAAGCCCACTGTATTCTCACCTCTCGTTGGCTGCACCCCTTTCGCCACGCCCCCACAAGACCACGCCCGTCCCGGGTCCCGCCTCCTCTGGGCCACACCCCTAGACCCCGCCCCACTCACCCCCACAGTTCATCAACTTGCGCACGTTGGTAGTGGACATGATTCTGCGACTCCGCAGGAAGTCTGCTATCTGGCCGCCGATGGGCACGATGATGGTCATGACCAGATGGGGCAACGCTGACACCAGGCCCACCTGCGCCAGCGTGAGGACAGAGCCGGTGCTCAGGGCCCACCTCCTTCGGGCTTCGGTTCTACCCCTTCAGTGACCCAATTTTCCATCCACCCCACCTTGCCCCTTGACCAGCCCGCCTGGGCCCCACCTTGCTGATCTCAAAGCCGAACACCTCTTCGAAGTAGGCGGGCTGGGAGATAAGCAGCAGGTAGAACGTCCAACTGCGGCAGAAATTGGCCACTATGATGGCGTAAACAGGCATGGACGTGAAGAAGCGCCGCCAGGGAGTGTTAAACTTCTGTGGGGGTGAGGAGAGACAGCTAAAGTCGAGACCAATGCTAGTGGCATCACTGCATCCCTTCAAGGGCCCTATGACAGTCTCAGAGAGCCAGAGGTCCAATATGGCTGTAGCCTCTAGGGACCTGCAGGAACGCCCCTTCTGTCCCGTCTGTTCCAACAGAAGACCCAGGAATTTGAATAAAGACACTCAGAAACAGGGATTCTGGCCCTAATTCTGTCCCTCATGTTCACAGGTGTCCAGGCCCATGACGACCCTCCGGGATCCATACATATGGGTCCAGGGGTCTCATTTCATTCAACACCCTCTAAAAGTGCCTGATTTATCCCTAAATCTATATATTAAACTCCACTCTCCAATTCTGTCACTGATGGTTTTAGCCACGCCCCACCAGCGATTCTCATTGGTCAACATTCCTACCTAACCCCGCCCTAAGAGCTAACCACGCCCCTCAGTCGAGCTGGGTCTTTCTTCTTTTCTGAGTCTGGAGAAAACCACCGTGATCAAAACAAGCTAAAACTGGTAGCCTAAGTTCAAAGCTTTCTTTTTCCTGCCTCAGAGCCTCGATGCCCCTCCCCTCCCGGCTGGACCCTCGCCGCACAGGCAGCCCCCCCAGCTTGCAGCTTGGACCCGGACCGTGACGGGGTTCATGAGTTTGGCGCTCTCGCCGATGGCGTCCTCAATGTATTTGCGCTCCTCTTCTGAGATGCTGGGGTGCATCGCAGGGGACTCGTAAGACACCAGCAGCCAGAAAAGGTACCAGAAGATGCCGAAGCTGCCTAGGGGAGGGGGGTAGGAGGGCATGGGAGCCGGATGACGATCGACTCCGCCCCTCCCGAGCTCCACCCGGACTCAGGCCTCTGGGGGGCCTCACCGTAGACATAGAACACGGAGCTCCATCCTGAGTACTGCACCAGGACCCCCGCCAGGGGCATCGCGACCACTGCCCCAGCATAGGAACCTAACAGAGATGATATGGATTGGATAACAGGCCCTTTTTTCTGTAAGGGCCAGGAGATCGGGTCCCCATCTTTCTACAACACAGGTGCATAAGTCACAGGCCCTCCCAGGCCCTGCTCACAAATTCATCCCACCAAAGAGAAAAACAAATCCATGCATCCAGGCCTTCTTCCCTCAGTCCAGGACACTAGGGTCCTCAGCCCTTTCTTTTACAGGCTCCACCGCCTCTTGATCTACTACTCCCTCTGATCCAGCCAGGAATTCTGGCTCGCCAGTCTTCTCCACCCCCAGACCTAAATCTGGCTACAGCCCTTCTTCCCTGAATCTCCAGCTCCATCATCTCACCGCAAAAGGCCGTTGTGGCCAGGCGACTCCGTTCTAAGGGTGGGGCCCATTTACTCCAGATCCCGTGGCAGGCAGGGTACGTGACCCCCTTGGGAGCAGAAAAGAAAGGTCAATGAGAAGAGGCGGGGTCAGGAAAGGGGCGGGATTATACAGGGCGGGGCTTTACCTCTACCAACCCCTGCAGGATCCGCACGAAGATGACGCAGCCGTAGTGGACGCGTGCAGCTGAAGGGATCAGCATGTTTAGAGTGGACGTAGCCACGATAGCAAAGCCGAAGACCCTGATGGGAAGAGTCTGTGGTCACCAAAAATGGTCCAACAATCTGCTATGTCTAGAATGCTGCCCCCAGCAGCTCAGGCTCTGACTTTCCGGGAATCCAGGACCTCAGGAATCTCACCACATCTTTCTTGAATACCTTGCCCCCATAGGACCTAGGCTTCTCCCCAGAGTCAGTCCTAAAATCTAAAACCACACACCTAACCCCACCCACATAGTTATGGTTCCCACCCACCTTGAGATTCCCATCTCTGTACCTGTTGGCTGCAAATTTTTGGCAGATAAATCCTCCAGGAATCTGCGTGACAATGTAGCCCCAGAAAAAGGAGCCGTGTATGAGGCCAACAGTCTCTGGATCCCAGTTGAACTGGGCTTTCTGCGGACCAAAAGAGTACATCAAACCAGCCGCCTTGAACAAGCTCTGCCCCTCCGCCAATCAGCGCTACAGGCTCAACCACGCAGCCAATCAGCAATCAAAAACTGCTCCTCTCCTCCAAACCACCTGCCAATCAGAGCCCACTCCAGCGTTCCATACCGCTGTCAATCAAGAAGTACTACGCCTTCATGTTGCTAGGGCCTCTGCTGTCTTAGCAACAGAACCCGTTGCTGCCTAGACAACCTGGTCTCGCCTGTTTCCCTGCCTTAGTGTCCCTTCTTCGAACGTCCAGGATTCATATGTAGTGAAGGAGACTCTCCACTTCTATCCCACTTCCTATCAATGGGTCCCACTTGTGTGAAGGGCCTGATTGGAAAGGAGTGAGGGGTGAGGCTTTAGGTTGGCCCCACCCAAATGGAGTATGTTTCCTAAATAAGGGAGAGGGCAGGGTTTAGGAGGCCGACTAGCTACGGGAACAGAGACTATGCTGAAATAGAGGCGCAGTGTGATGTGGGGCGGAGCTTTAAATGGACATCAGAGTTGTGGAGAACAGGAATGCAAAGGACACAATCTTGAACAAAGATGACAGTGGGTTTATGATGGAGGCGGGCCAATGCATAGATGGGCGGGGCCTGCGTAAAAGTGATCCTGAGGAGGCGTCCCAGAATGCAATGGGGAACCTGGTATGGGGTGGAGCTTCACTTCAATCTGGGCGGAGCTTAAGTAAAGGGAGCTTTCTGAGTGGAAGCCAGTTGAGGGGCGTGTCCTAGGTGGGACACCCTGCAAGGTGGCAATGGGGCGTGGACAGGACGAGCTCGCGCTGAGCTACCTGCACCACCACGTGCCCCCCGTGGTGGGTGGTGCTGTTGTTGACCATGGACACGATGGCCACGCCCAGGTTGCAGCGGATGCCGAAGCTGATGCAGAAGCCCAGGCCGCTCATGATGGCGATGATATAGCGGCGAGGAAGGCCGAAGCAGGTGCAGTCCACGACTGGAGGGTCCCGCGTCTGAGTGGTCACCGGGCGCCCGTCAGCGCTCAGCTCCAGCGTCTCCGCACCTTCCTGCCGCTTCTCTAGAAGCCTGAGCGACAGCAAGAATCAAAGGCTGGCATGTCCAAGACTTTGTCCCCCTCCTGTCCCAGACCTAAGAGTCTACACTACAAAATCTTCTTCCCTCTGACCCGAATCCGGGGCCCCATCCTCTCCTGCCTCAGACCAAGGGGTGTGGGAGCCCCTCACACTCCTCCCCCCTTAGACCCAGGAGTCCTGGCCCCCATTTTTCTCCACCCCAAGTCTTGTCATCTCTCTGGACTCAGTTTTAGACCCGAGACTACCCTTAGGATCCGAGCTCTGTACCCCTGCCCCACCCCCACCCCCCAACAGTCTCCGCAGCCCCTGCTGCCAGATAGGAGTCTATTTGAGGAAGCAAAAGGTGCTAAGAAGATGCTTCAGCAAAGGTGTCAAGAGAACAGATGCTTCGCAGCCACGTCTGCTATATATACCGACCCCTCTTCCCCTGCCCCCTGTGGCCTGCCCTTCTGCGCTTCCAGGTGTGGGGCCCAGATCCAGCTGACTCTGAGAAAGCCCACATTCATTCCAGGGATGTAGGGGTTGGGGAGAGGCCTGGCTTCTGGGGTCTAGAGGCTCAGCCCCAGCACCCCTTGGGGACCTGGACTTGAGGCCTTCAACGGAGGGGGGTAAGGAGAAGGAGTGTCGGGTGGTGTCCTGGCAGGGGACAGATGGCCCTGGTGGGGGATTGGCTCCATTCCCAGCATGGCTCTCGCCCCCGCCTGCTATGGATCCAAGACTGAGTCTATGATGACGATTAGGGTGCTTGGAGGGCCGCCTCATCCTCAGAGAGAGGCTGCAGGGAAACAGAGGTGCGGTGCCCCGAGACTGGTGGGGAGAGACCTAAAATGAGTGATGGAGATTGAAGTGGAGAGGGAGGGACAGACTCGGAAATAGAGACCCAGGGAGATAAAGAGGGACACGCATCCAAAGAGAAAGGGACAGAGACTCAGAGAGTGGGGGAACAGAGGCATTTGTGAGAGAGAGGGACAGAGACCAGGGAGGGGGGAGAGTGACAGAAGCACTGAGATAGAGAGGGACAGAGGAGACCCAGAGAGAGAATGGGACAAAGACTCAGAGAAAGAGGGGGACAGAGACCCAGAAATAGAGGAGGCTGAGACATAGAGAGAAAGGGGGACAGAGAACCAGAGAGAGGGGGGACAGAACCCCAAAGGGAGGGACAGAGATTGAGAAGAGGGACAGAGAACTGGAGGAGACAGAGACCCAGAGAGACACACACCCATAGGAACTCTGAGAGAAAGGAGGCCAGAAACCCAGTGTGCTGAGCCATTTAGACTGAGAAAGGTGGCAAAGACAGGGAAATCGTGAGCAGGGACAGGCTGGGAACGTGATTTGTGAGGTGCAGCCCCCCTCTGAGGCGGGGAGGCAGCCAGGGGATCGGGCTGGATCCCAGGAAGGGGCTAGAACAGATGGAGGCGAGGGAGACTGGGACGGGGGAGGAGAGAACAGCCAGACGGTGGGGGGGGGGGAAGAGATGAGGGAACACAGCCGCCCCTCCTCATTCTTGAACTTAAGGAGGTGGGAGGGATAGTTAAGAAACAGGAGGGGAGGGGACAGAAGCCAGTGGGAACTGAACCTCCCCTAGGGGATTGAACCCCGGAATGTAGGAGACAGGGGTCTCCCCTGCGGCATCAGAATACATTGACTGAAGAGCTAGCTGGTGGCTTGGGCCAGGTTGATATCAGATATTTGACCCTGAAACCCAAGATGTGATTGCAGCCCCTGAAACGTGAGATTCGGCATATTCTCTGACCCAAGGTCTCTAAGTGGGGGTCTCAGTATCCCACACCCATAAAATGGGCCAAGTGTTAGAATGGGAGACAAGTCTAGGATGCTACTCGCTACTTCTGGATAAAAGAGGACCAGGGATGTAGAGAGGAAGATGGCTCCGAAGCGTGGGAGAAGACAAGGACAAGGACAGAGGGTACCTGGCTGCAGCCCTCTCCCCACTCCTGAAACCCAGGTCAGGGGCTTGGTGAGGAGGAGACGCAGTTCTTGGGGGACAGTTAGCCAAAATGAGCAAGGGGTCTCAACATCCCTTTCTCTGGATCTCTGTCACCCTCTCTCTCTGGGTCTCTATCCACACTTCATCTCTGTCCCCCTCTCTCTTTGGTTTCTGTCTTCCCTCTCTGAATTTCTGCGCCCTCCCTAGGTCTCTTTCTCCCCTTTTCTCTGGGTCTCCGTTACCCTCTTTCTCTGTGTCTCTGTCCTCTTCTTCCTCTGGGCTCTGTCCCCGTCTTTCTCTGAGTTCTGTCCTGCTGTCTCTCTAGGTCTCTAACCACCACCACCCCTGGGCCTCTGTTTCCACCTCTCTCCGTCTTTCTTTGCTTTTTCTCCAAGTCTCTACTCCCCATTTTCCTTTGGTGCTATCTTATCTTTGTGTCTCACAACTGAAGAAACTGAGGCTTAGAAAGCAGAAGGGTCTAAGTCCCTAGCAGCACCCGATGGGGGCCTGTGGAACCCCACCTCTCCAGCATCCCCCCCCCGCCATGTCCTTGTCCCAAGCCAACCTAGAGTCCCATCTATTTCCTGGCTCAAAGAGACCTTTCCATCCACTCTGGAATTCCTCTTTTTGAGGAAAAACCAGTCCCCAGCCCCACCAGGGGATGAAGCTGACCTGGCGTCTGAGTAATAAATGGCTAATACTGTCATCAACTGTTTTCTCCACCCCTTTCTGAATTGGGCCTCACTTTCCCTAGCGTGGTCCAAAGGGTCAAAGGGATCAAGGTGTTGTGTTCAATACAGTGCAGCAGCACCTCCACCCCCATCTCTCCAGCAACCTGGAGACAACTCCCAAAACATTGGATGGAAATATTTTCCGCTCAAAGTCCTAGGTGACTCTCTCTCTTGCTGGGCCCTCAAGGGTCTGGGGGGCTGGCAGACCAAGAGCAACCCAGACTCATCTGACAAGTGGAGACTGCAGGAGGGGGCCTGAAACTGAACCCCGCCCGATCCCCCATGCCACCCCCCTCCCCGTGCAATTCTTTCTCTCCTGACTTCACACTGATGTATTTTGAGAAACTCGTGAAAGGAGGCGAGAAAAAAAGGGTGGGGAGGGGCTGGAAGATTGGGGGAAAAAGAAGGGATGAGGCCATCTCAGCTCTCCCCCCCCACTGCGACATCCTTCAATCCCCTTCCTTCCTCACCCCCCCCCACTTCTTGTGGCTCCTGTTACTAGAAGGTGGGGGACCTTGGGAGCTAGGAGTCAATCTGCAGCAAGCAGGACTAGAGTTAGACTTGGGAAGGACTTTCATGGCCTGGGGAGATGAACAAGGGTGAACTAAAGGTGGAGCCCAGGTCGGAGGGGGTATGGGCAGGGCCGTGATGCTGGGGAGGCCGGATCCTCTCGCACCCGCACCGTGGCCAGATTATTTTTAGGCTATTCCGCAGTTGAGTAATTTCTCTGAGTTGGAGCCAAGGCTGGGGTTGGGGGTGGGAAGCTAGAGGGGAGGCAACCAGACTGCCCTGAGGGACAGCTGGATCACTGGGGTCATGGCCCTGCCTGGGAGAGAGGCTGTGGGGCTTTAAGGGACATCTTTTGGGGGATCTGCTCCACCTCTGGAGCCTGATGTTAGCTGGCCTGCTCTCTTCTCCCCCAGGGACCCAGGATACCCAGACTTTCTTCCTCCCCTCCCCAGATTAACCCCCCTCAAGGACAAGGCCCGATGGCTCCAATCCGCTTTAGCTTCAGATTAAACTCTGACTGACACCCAAGAGAGGTGGAAAGGGATGTGGCCTGGGGAGGACTGAAACTCACGAGAGAGAGACAGAGGCCTGGAAAGAGAGAGACACACACACAGAGAGGTGGACAGTGACAGACCCTGAGAGAAGGGGAGTAGATGCGGGGAGAGGGAGACAGAAACCCAAAGAGAGGGGTCAGCGATCCGAAGAGAGGGTCACAGGCAGAGGGAGACAGAGACCCAGAGAGAGTGGGACAGAGACCCAGAAAGAGAGAGGGGGACAGAGACCCAGAGAGAGAGAGACAGAGACTCAGAATGGAAGACAGAAACTCAGAAAAAGGGGTGATCAGAAACTCAGAGAGAGGGGGACAGAGACCCAGAGAGAGGGGGACGGAGACCCAGAGAGAGGTGGACAGAGACCCAGAGAGAGGGGGACGGAGACCCAGAGAGAGAGTGACAGACTCAGAGTGAAGGACAGAAGCTCAGAGAAAGGGATGATCAGAGACCCAGAGAGAGAGAGAACAGTGACTCAGAGAGAAAGAGGGGCACAGAGACTCAGGAAGATGAGGACAGGAGCCCAGGTAATGGAGCAGAGCTTGTCATAGGGTGAGGTGCGGAAAAAATGCACAGGGATAATAGAGGAGATGGACTAGGGGGCATGCTATGAGATAGGGGAAGAAAACTGACAGATGGGTTTAGGGACCTCCACCCCGGGGTACGCCCTGCCCATCTGCCCGTCTATGCCCAGGAGGGACAGAGCAGATCATTCTCCTTGGACACCCTACCTCTCCCCACCCAGAGCCCCCAGCTCGCTCACCGGTGCAGTTTCCCGAGGGTGCGACCCGCCAGCTTCCGAAACTCCTCCTGGCGGAACTCCATGGTGGCGGCCCCTGGGGCCGGTCCCCCCCGCCCGCGGGCCCGGGCGGCCGCGTCCGGGTTCCCGGGGTCCGCCCCGGCCCGGCCGGCCCCGCAGCTCCGCTCGGGGGGAAGGAGGCAGCGAGTGCTGGCTGCCTGGGGGTTGTCACAGGACTCGGAGCCAGGGCGGGGCGGGCCCCAGGCAGACCCCGCCCCTTTCCCCACCAGCCCGACCATCCGGGTTCTGGCCCTGCCCCGTCCCGCCCAGGACCACGCCTCTGAGTTCTGAAAACCCGCACCTGAGCGGCGTCGTCCCCCACCCGCCCCACGCCCCCATCTGGCCTTTCTCGAGTTCCTCACTATTGCATTCCCCTAAGGCCCAGTCACTACCACCCCTGTGGATCCAATCTCCTGGCTGCCCGGTAGGACAGACAGTTGTCCTGTGCATGAGATTTCCAAGGCTGTAACCTTTGCTGGCTATAATCAGCAGTTGCACAGCCAACCCAAAGGCAAGTGGTTCGAATCCACCATCTGTTCCGCGGGAGACAGGTGGGCAGTCTCCCCCGCTGCGATTTACACCCTTCAAAAATCAGCTGCAGGGTCAGCTATGGCTTGATCCCAACTTCTTGGTGTTCATAACAATAATAATTCTTTATGGGAGCTCCCTTAACCATGAGGTACACACACACATGCACACACTCCAGCTCCATCGTTCTCTGTTTCCATCCTCTGGGCCTGCCTTCTATCTCTCCTAATTTCTGGATTTAATACTTATCTCCCCCTGAACTCTGCACTTTAGACAGCTCCACATCCAACGCTGTATTCTCTCCTCCCCGAATTCTAACCCCTAGTTCAATACCCTCTCTTTATTCTTCCCTCTCCCCTGTTTCTTCATGCTAGGGCCCAATCTCTTTCGGATTCCATTTTGCTCTCAGTTGTAGTAATCATTGGGGCGCCAAGACCCCACTCAGCTCCTTCCTCCTGACCTCATCTTCCTACTCTCAATTCTCCTCCTCCTCGGAGTTTCAGCTTCTACAGTTAAAACCCACCCTGCCTCTTAGCTGTGTCACCCCCAGAGCTTCCAAGAATCTGGGCTACGTGCGCCCTGGAATGTGCTCTACACGCTGAATTTTGTCCTGCCTTCTACGATCTGTCGCTGTCCTCCGGGATCTGTCTTCACCTTCAGAAAAAAATCCTAGACTTGTTGCCCCGCCCCCCGGTTATGGCTCCGCCCCCTCCAGCTACCACACCCAATGGTATGAATTACCACGCCCCTCGCCACAGGCCCCGCCCCCTGTGTTTGCTCCGCCCCCTGCTGGCTGCCTCTCTGGGTTCTACACTCCCTTTCTAAGAGCTGCCCTGCCCTCTGGGTGCTGCCCCCCTGGGTTCTGACCCCTTCCTTTGAAAGATGCCCCGCCCATTGGGCTCGGTTCTGTCTGATTCCCAGGTTCATCCTCTGGAGTAGACCAGGAATTCTCTCCCAGGACTGCGGACACTATACAGTTTGGTCCTGCTCTTTCCCTTTCTGTAGGCTAGCTCCTCCCCCTGTCGCTGATCCTCTCCCCACTACAGAGTCAGCTCCGGGAGAAGTCTCCAAATCAGGCTGCAAATGCATCCGGGATTAAATTTTCATGATGTGGCACGAGTCCGCCAAACGGTGGGCGGGAGGAGCAGACAGCGAGGCGGGCAGGCGCCCCGTTGGGGTGGCCGAGCAGCTACTGACCGGGGGCGGGGCGGAGGGGGGGGCCTCTCGCCTCCAGTTCGAGCTCCTTGGGTTTCAAAAACTTTGGTTACTGGAGGAAACCCTGGATTTCCAGGAAGGAGGCGGCTGTGGGCCCCGAGCCCCTGGGACTAAGGTTAGGAGGGAGTTGGAGGTTTGAACTCCTGAGTCTGGTGGAGGAGGAGGAGGGGGCCAGAAACCTGGATTGTGGAGTCGAGGAGGCTGCTGCAGACGTGGACACGCTGAGATGAGAATGAAAAAGGAACTAGAGGACTGGACCCCCTTGATCTGAGGGAGGAAAGGGCTCGGGACCTGCACTCCTGTCTGCGGAAAGAGGGGCCAGGGACCCTTGGGGCTGCGGGCTGATTCCTCGGTCCAAGGGAGGAGGAGGAGGAGCTGCAGAGCCGGCCTCACGCGCCACCTGGTGGCAGTAGCCTCCCGGACCTGTGTGCGGAGGCAGCGGCCATGGCTCCTAGACAGGTGTGAGGGTGGAGCAGATGGTGAAGAGGAGGAAGTGGAGAGGGGGGCCCTGCTGCTGCCAAGTCCTAGGCCTCCGCCGGAACCGTCACCATGGAGACAAGAAAGACTGGAAGGACCCAGCCCTGCACTTTTTCACGATCTGTGAATTCCTCGGCTTCCCACTAAAGACCAAGGGAAGGAACTACAAGTCCCAGAGGCGTCTGGAACTGTCTGCCTGCGTCGGAAAGGCCGTGCACTCCAAAGGCCGCTGGGAGATGTAGTTCTTGGTTTTGTTTTTTTTTGGGTTTGTTTTTTTTTTGGCACAACTGGCCAGCCTATCTCGCGCCCTCTGGTGCACGTGCATTGAAATGCATTCCATACATATGCTCCGTGGATGCAAGGATGAGGAAGCCTCCTCTCACATACTAGGGGAATGTTGCTTAGGAGAGGCTATTCCTTGGAAAGGGGCATCATACTTGGAAAGGAGGAGGGTCGGCGGAGGAAGACCCTCAGTGAGATATGGATTGCAATACACAGTGACTGCTGCAATGGCCTCAAGTGTGCGAGAGATAAATAAGGATGGCGTGGCATAGGGACAGAGTTTACATCTGTTGTTCATAGGGTCATTATGAGCTGTGCTCGACTCACTGGCACCTACCACAAGAAGCAGCCCCAGAATGAACAAGCAGAGGATTCCAGGCCACATCTCAGGTCCCTAAATGTCGTCTCCTCCACTCTTGATTCTCCAGCCTTTTAATCGTGACACCAGGTGATGTCAGCCTGGTTCCAGGGGCAGCTACCTATGACCAGAAAGCTGTCCCACTTACAGCAAAGCAGGAGCCAGGGCTCCCAGCCCCAGCCAGGTTCCCGGGGTTCACAAATCACACCCTACCTGTCCCCAAAGCCGCCTCTCTGTCCCTGGCCTCCCTCTTACAACACCCAGATGTACACAAAAGTCCCGATCTGGCTGTCTGTGCAGCCCTGCCCAGAGCACTGTGCCTTACACCTGACAAGGCCCCTCTCCTGCCTGCAGGTGGGTGATACAAGGCGAGGGCTTTGTCACCCGGGGTCCCCAAAATTATAATATGATGGGCTTTATGGGGATTTGATTGTGGATTGTACCAGGGCTGTGTGTTCCTAACATGACAGTCATACAATGTCCAAATTATCCAACGTACTATTTCACTGGGTGAATTCACCAAGTTTGATGTCAAGAGTTTAATGGCTTTTTAAGCTGCTGATTTTGATTTTTTTACTCTGACATATGGATGGGTGGGATCATACAAACAGAGTGTTAGTCTATCCACAAGGGGATTGGCTAGTCTCGCCATTCAATTGAGTGGATTCAGTGACAGAATTTGAGACTCTCACCACCAGCAAGAAAGCAGCAGAGAATGCAGCAAGTGTTCTTTGAGACCAAAGATTCATGCACCTCACAGATCAGGGCGTGCAGGGGCCGCAGCACCCGCAGCAGAGAATCTAAGAGCCAGTATGAGACAGAACCAACCTTGAGCCAAGGGGATTTCACCCAAGCTTGCTGGAGGTCTGGGGGGAAGATACGGTAACAGGCAGGACTAAGAGAGCATTGTAACCCGGACCTAGAGCCGCGAGGCTGAAGGGCCTGCAAGGACACTTCAGAGGCCGTCCTTACTGAGAAATTGTAACCTGCTACCAATCTGTGTGGCCTGTGCCTCTACTGCAATGAATTTTGGACCCAGAGAGACAGTAGGATTCGTGCTGGAATTAGTAGAAAGGGGGGAGACATGTCTGACCTCTTGAGAACTGGTTCTGTGTTGTGGCTGTTGTTGATGGGGACAGTTCCCCTTGTGGAGTTAGCAGAGGTCAGACTTAGCTGTTCCCACGCTGCTCTCACTCTTTTTCTTAAGTTTTATTTTATTTTTGTGTGTGTGTGTACAACAACAATGACAATGACAAAGAGAGAGCTACGATGGCCTAGTGGAAAGGAAGTTATGCTACCAAGCCAAAGATAGGTGATTTTCACCTAGGGGGCCCTTGGCCAGGTTCAAATTGTTTTCCTGTCAAACATTCTTCTAGGTGGTATAGCACCCGTCTGCATTGCTGTACAGAGGTAACTCGTGGTTGCTGTGAAGCTGAAAACTATGACAGTGATGTGCCAATCGTGGTAACGGGTACCCATGGTGGACAGTGTTGGCTGGAGCTTCCCAACTAAATCAAGCCTGGAAGCAGGAGCGGCATCCACTTCCGAAATGGCTTGCCTCGGGAAAATCTATGTACGAACAGTGTTCAGGCCGTTTGTTCATAGGGTCCCTATGAGTCGTCTACGACTCGACAGCACTAAACAACAACTGTCAAATTGGATCTGACTGGTACAAGAGGAGACTGTCCCTCCTTCTCCAGCAGAGCATCTGTTGGATTTGAACTGCATACCTCTGGGATGGCAGTGCAGCTGCTTGCCACTAGACCACCAGAGCTCCCTATCTGCCCTCACTCTTTTACACTAAGCAACACACATTCACACAGAGAGGAGGTATGGAAAAGTAAGCGAGGCCAGGAGGCTCTTAAGTCCTGAGTGAGGAGGAAGACGAGGTGTAAGATGGGGGGGCAGACAGACTGCACAGGATTTAAGAGCCGAGCTGAGGGGCAGGGGCAGCACACTGGTCCCATGGGGGACTAACTGGAGGAGGGAGGCCAGGGAGAAGGTCCAGGGGAGGCTCCAGCGGGAGAGCCCCAGGTCTGAGCTGGACCAGGACCGCGGTGGCATTTAGAGCTACAGCCCAACGTCCCTCTTGCCTGCCACCCTCTGTTTCTTGCCTAGGCAGAAACAGAACCAAGGCAAATGACTTGTTTTTTTGGCAGATAACCTTTTACTTCAGATCATTTGAGAGAAGGCCTCAGCCTCAGGCCCACTTTTTTGAGCCCTGGGAGTCACTGGGTTTAAGAAGGCACCGACAAGAGGGGCATGGCCACCATCAGTTGCTGTAGAAAAAGATAAGGTTGAGGGTTCCAGAGAGGAGTCTCAGTCCCCAGACGCTCCTCCCTCAGATCCAGGGGTCCTGACCCCCATAGCCCCTCCTCCCTCAGACCCAGGGGTCCTGACCCCCAGCCCTTCATCTTCCTCCCTCACCCAGGGGTCCTGACCCCCCCAGCCCCTCCTCCCTCAGACCCAGGAGTACTGGCTTCTAGCCCCTCCTCCCTTAGACCTTTGACCCTCCCCTCAAACCCACACTTCCCTAGACACCCCCCCCACACACACACACCTTCCTCTTCCGGTGGAAGGCAGCCTTGCTCTGGTCAGCATTGATCCGCAGGGGGATGGAGGTATCCAGGTGGTACAGCTGCTGGGGCCCCCCCACCACCAGGCGGTTCTCCCCGAGCTCCAGGGACAGCCCCATGGCTCCATCCTGGGGACATAACGACATCAGCCCTCCTTTGAGCACCAGGACGACAATACCGGGGCACCGTGCTTGGAAAGGGTCAGCAAAAGAGCGGAAGACCTCCACTGCTGCCAGAGATTGAAAGAGTAACTGCAGCAGTGGGCTTGAGTGTGGCAGAGATGACGGCCTGACACAGGACAGGAAAAGGCTCACGTGTTATTCACAAGGTTGCTATGAGTACTCCAATCCACAGCTCCTAAAAACAACATACTACAAAAGGTCTAATGGCTCAGGGAAGAGGCAGGCGATGGTAATTAGAAGTATCCTCCACTGAATGCTCTCATCTCTCTTAGTATCTTCAAGGTGTGTTTGACATCCAGGGCGAGGCAGTGGGGTCCGGGGGTAGCATCCACCTCGCACAGTATCAACTATGTACTTCTAAAGTATCAGGTATAAATCCCAATCCCACCTGCGGTTATCATCCCCTTTGGGAATGGGGTTTCTCTGTCATGTTATGGAGGCAGGACTAGGGCAGGCTGTCTCTTCGTCTATTTTGAGACTACAGAAGCTGCAGAGGGACAGAGGACTTCCATGGAGAGAAAAGAGACAGACATAATTCCCTTTCACTAAACTTGGAGAAAACCAACTTCTGTCCATTAACACCACTCATTCGTGGGATTTCTGTTATAACAGCACTAGGTCATTAAAGGGGAGTTCTGGTGGCGAAGTGTGTAGAGTTATGTGTCTCTGGCAGATCGAATCCACCAAGGTCTCCGAGGGAGAAAGATGGGCAGCCTCCGTTCTCTGCCATTTGGAAACCTGAGGGGGAGGGGACCTATGAGTTGGAACCGACGGCAGCATGTAAAGCTCTTCTGAGAGAATTAAGCAGAAACCTGGTGGCTCAATCATTAAATGTAAAGCTGCGGACCAAGAAGTTAGTGGTTCAAGCTTATCAGCTGCTACTTGAAGGAAGACCCTGGTCTTGGAAGCTATGGGGCAGGTCTATTGTTCTACAAGATCACGGTGAGTTGTAATGAACTTGGTGGCAGGAGATTAAAAAACTAAGACGTACAATGAGGAAGCTCCAGACCCCAGTGCAGGGGAAGCCTCCCTACTCCCGGTGAGAGCCCCCCCATCTCCAGACCCCTCTCTGGTCTCTGCTTCTCTAAGCACTCACCAGTTTGGGGAGGTCAATCTCGGCCAAGAGGAGGTCAGGGGCTTCCAGCCAGAGGTTCAGATGAGGCTTCTCCAGGCTAGAGAGGGACAAGACCCAGAACTGAGGAGAGCTGCCAGGTTTTCGCCAGGTCTGTTCCCTCAGTCAGGTATGCTGTGCCCCGCCTGCCTTCCTTCCTCCTCCAATCTCGGTCTCATGAAGCCTCCCTGGAGCCCCAGGCCATTTTGGGGGGTGCATTTGTGGGAGGGAGAATGGAGGGAGAGATCGGAGAGCTCCTTGGCAGACATGGGGGAGCGCCCGAGGCTGGCTCACCCCTCAGAGACAGGGCCACCCGGTGGAGACGGGGTCCCTAGCTCCTGGATGCGAGGACGCTGCTGCTTGCGGATGTTCTGCTGAGATATGGAGCCCATGAAAGGCCGATTCTTCAGGAGGCGCCATTCTGGAGGGGAGGAGGTCAAAGGTCAGCTTGCCAGGGTGCCCTTGGCTCCTTCAGAAGTCCCTTCCCTTCTGGCCTGGACCCGATCACACCCCTAAAGCTGGACCATTGTAGCCCCGCCCAAGCCGGGATTTCCACCAATCACCTTCTGAGGTCTGCTTTAGACCCCTCCCCTGACGGCCCAAGCCCCGCCCCTCCCCGAATCCGAGCCCCCGCCGGCTGCCACCGATCCCTCCTCGACTCCACCTCCCTCCCGGGGTCTCCCCTCACCCGGATTCAGCTGCAGGCCGTATTTGTCCTCAAGACCCTCCCTGGCAATGGTGATCACAAGCTCCCGCAGGAAATCACTGTTCTAGGAAGGAGGAAGGGGCGTGGCGGCTCATGGGGTGGAGCTTAGGGAGGAGCTGTCACCAGGCTCCGCCCCAACCCCGCCCCCTACCTGCAGTCTGAGATAGAAGTCCCTGTTGACAGCTACATCGTAGGCAGTACAGCCCTGGCCTTCTGCAGGGAGAGAAACGGATGAGCCCCCAACCCTCCTCGGAAAGCTGGACACGGGAACATCCGGGACAGTCGCCCACAGGAACCAGAGATGGGGAGCCGATTAGGAAAGAAAGACGCAAAGCCGGGTCTCCGTCTCCAGTGCACACTCATCTCAGACTCTTCCCAGGCTCTATCATCTGCTCCCGGACGTCCCCACCATGTGGCGTGCACGTGGCCCTCCCACCGATGTCCCAGCTAAGGTCCAGTGGAGGCCATGGCTGTTGGCCCTGTCCACTGCCCGCCGGCCCCTCCCACCCCTCCGAGATAAGTCCATTTCTCCTCTACCAATCACATATTTTATATTTATCTGTCACTCTGATTACTCTTTTACCCAACCCAATCATTGTCTGTGGCTTCTAGGCCCCTGTCCCCTCTACTTACAAACTTCTCTGTTTCTGTCCAATTAACTCCATCTTATCCTTCAAACCCCCTCCCCAGGAAGCTTGCCTGGGACTCCCCTCCCAGATGGACCTTCCCCCCACTCTCCCGCAACCCAGGTTGTGCTGGGTGCTCCCTGCAAGTGTAACATGTACCACCTCACACTGGAATTGTCCTCCTTGTCCCCTTTCAGCCCCCTCCAGGATGGGAAAGTTCTCAAGGTTAGAAACGGGGTCTTCAGGAGACCAGTGTGAACTGAAAGAATGAGACTGAGACAGAGATGTAAAAGGGACTGAGGGGACACAAAGGCAGAGCTAGAGACATGTGGGCTGGCCCTCGACGAGGTCTGGAGACCCACTGCTTACTTCACCGAGCCCTCTGCACCCTGGGGTGGGACAAGGGAAGCCCTGGCCTGGCGAGGGGCTAGGTGTCCAGAAAATGCCCCAACAGATGAGAACACACCTCAAATGACACCTCGGCTTGAGGGACGAGGCCAGAGCCAGGGCTCTATTCGAGAAAGGAGGGCTCCAGGAGCCTGAGAGTGGAGGCTCTTGGGACCTCGGCCTCCTGAGAAATGAGAAGGTAAGGACCTGCACCCCTGGTTCTGAGGAAGTAAGAAGGATCTGGGGGGGGGGGCTTGGGTTCTGAGAATGGATGGGGCAGGACTCCCAGTTGCCCTGAGCACACTGACTTGCATCCAGTTCGGCATGGGGCTCCCCCAGACTCATGGGGATGCGGAAGCCAGCCAGGTCCTCCTCCAACATTCGCAGCAGCTCGTCCTCTGTCACATCAGCCGGGGGAGGGATACAGGGCGAGTGGCAGATGTTGATGAAAACCTTCCCTTCCGATGAGTTGGTCTTGACGCAGAAACCTGGTGGGAGTAGCACTGTCCTGCCCATCCCGGAACTCGTTCAGTCTCCTCTGCAGTCTGTGCCTCTCCCTCTCTGGATCTGTTTGTCCGCTTTCTCTGACTCTGTTTCTCTCCTTATTCCTCAGTCATTTGGTCCTCTCCCCAGGTCTCGGATCATGTCCCGTCACCCACCAAACACCCTGCTAGTGTATCCCTGTTTTCCTTCCTCTTTCTAAGTCCTGAGTCTCTCTCCTTCTCTCCCATCTCTGGCCCCATCTCTCTCACCAGGCTGAGGCTGGATCTGTGTAGACGCTGGCCTGCTTGTCTGTGCTTGCTGAAGCTCCTTGGAGGCCTAGGTGAAAGAAATAATCTCCAGTCTTGGAATCTGAGTCCCCAGAACCTTAATTTGTCCCTCAAATGTTTGCTTAGCAATAGTTAAGTATAAGAGCTGTGGATAAGGTGCTCTTTATCCTTTGAAGACCCCAAAGAATCCCAATCCTACCCTATTTCCATTTCTGCCAAAGCCTGGTAAACTTTAGGAATTAAAAAAAAAAAAATCCAAAAATATAAAATTCTTTGCCCTGGAGTCAATTCTGACTCACAGCACCCCTGTAGGGCGGGGTACAACGTTCCCAGAGCGTTTTTAAGGCTGCAAATCTCCATGGGAACAGAGAGGTATATTTAGCTCTCAAAATATGGTGACTTTGAACCGCTGACCTTTTAGTTTGGTTTTACCCCTCTGCCAACAGAGTTCAGCAGAACTTGGGACCAAACAACTACAATTCCCAGGAGGTGCCGAGGCCGTCTCAGTGCATTCTGGGAGCTGTAGTCCCTTCTGGTCTGAGCACATTTCTCGAACATCCAAGGACCCAGGGAGTCGGGTGCAGTTCACACCTGCAGCAGCAGCTCCTCAAACCGCGCCGTCTCGGGGCCCATTGTCTCCACCTCGTTTAGCTCAGAAACCAGCAGCTTCGCGTCCGCCATGTTCCTAGGAAAAAAAGAAGACACACAACGTCCGCCGTGGAGGACCTTTCCCTGATATCAGCACCTACCTTTTAACTGACCCCCTATACTTACAATAATGTCTGAAAATTTAACAATCTGGCCTGCGATTCCAGTTCCAATCCAAGCCAGACATTGTCCTTAAGTCTATTAAGAAGCTAAACCTCTGGACGAACTCCTTTGACCCAAATGCTAAATGTTTAAGCAAAAGGCTCACTTCCGGCCTCTGAGTAACCATGGTATCTGTGGATGCCACACTTCCGACCGCCCACATCCTCATTCTCAATCCTGCCGCACGAGTCCATACTAGCCAATCATGTTCGAGAACTGAAGCCACATGTCCCGCCCCGACCAATCACAATGACGCCTGAAGCTACCCAGCCAGCATTCCCTTTCGGTCATTTTAAAAAAGATCGCGAAATGTCACACTTCTCTCTACAGAAGTTAAGTTTCTGTTGTCAATATGTACTTCGGCCGTCTTCTGTGTAGTCAAGGGTTCTACACGAACTGTCACATCTTCATCCCACGCTAAATACGGTTACCACTGAAACATTTGGACTGAAAGCTGCATTTCCTGCCAACAATCCAAGCCTGTGGCAAGAAGCCACACCGAAACACTCTTCTAGATCCAGAACCTTCTTACTTGCAAACCCAGTGCAGTAAAAATGATTCCCACTCCTAGCTTCCCTATATGGCGGAGAATTAACTGCCTCATAGGCTTTCTTACAAATCTCTATGGAAGCGAACGTCCTCTTTCTTGAAGTAGTTAGCAGGTTCGGACTGCCCACCTTTCGTTATCAGCCGAATTGTTTAACCAATGCTTCCTTACAGTTCCTTTCTTATTTGCAGGTGATCCACAATTGCTACCACCTGCCCCACCCCACTCCTGCCTTGATAAATACGCATGCTCTAATTTGCTGTAGCATGTACAGACTCCAAGGCAGGCCGATGGGCGGGGCCCGCAGAGGCAAAGCGGGAGGGAGAAATGGGCGGGGCCCACGCCATCTTCCCCATGTCCCCGCCCTCTTCCTCTTGGCCCCGCCCCTCCCGGCGGAGGGGGCGGTGCCGCCCTTTGGACCTCAACGTGCGGGTGGTCCAAGTGCCCGGTAGTCCTTGTGGAAAGCGGTCTTGGCGAGTGATGGCTGCAACGCGCGCAAGGCCCCAAACCCGAGAGATCTTTACCACGATGGAGTACGGACCGGTGCCCGAGAGCCACGCATGCGCACTGGTGAGGACCTGCCCGGGGCGGCACTGCCCAACCCCCCTCCCCGGTTTTCCCCGATCTATTTTGCGCGCGGTCTCCCATGAGCCACCGCGGCAGCCCAGCAGCCCCGCCCCTCTCGGCCGCCGTTCTCCCGTCTCCTGGGGACTTTTCCCATGAGCCTTTGCGGTTTGCTGTGTCCAAGCCGTTTCTGTCTAATTCTTTGCAAACTTGTCCTCCTTCTGCCCGCGATTCTGAAAGCCTTTTTCTTCGAGGGCCCTGGGGGTTTCCCCGATTTCTTAGGGGTTCCTCAAGAGCCTTTGGTCTGGACAGTTGCCCTGACATTCTGAATTTTTGTAGAACAATTAACCTCCTTTTGAAGCCTCCTATTACTCATGGTTCCTTAGAGCATGATTCCTGGGACACCCCCTCCCCACCCAGATATCTTTGCATTTCTTTAAAGATCGTTAAGCGCTCGCATGATTCCTTTGACCTCTTCAGTGCTTGTGGGATGTGTATGATTTCATGAGGGCTCTCAGAACTCTAAAACATGAGAAAACTTTTATAATTACTTATGATCCCATAATATACCCACATAGAACTCCCATGTACCTTTAAGGCCGCTCAGAACGTCATAGAAATCTCAGAGCTTCAAGGCCCTTTGAATTTTTCATGAGGCTCCATGAGGCTTTCGGTTTTCCAGAACTTTCTTGGGACTGCTGTTACCTCCAGGGTGCCAGGGAACAGGGTGTCTCGAATTTCCTGTCCTTCCTTAAAAACCCAAAATCTCTGTAAATGTTCATTAAAATTAATAAAATTTAATAATAAAAAAAATTTTTAAAAAAAACCAAACCTCAGACCTCCTTGTGGAGGTGTGGTGACCCAGACAGACCACCCCAGAATCCACACGTGAGAAAGATAGAAACTGTCAAAAGAAATGTCTGGGGTCTCAGAGAAACAGAGGCAGGAGTCCAGTTGGGAGGATTTGAAACGGGAGCCCGGCCCCAGTTCTGGATGAAAAGAGGAGGAAGTGAGGCACAAGATTTAGGGCTTTGGAGGGAAAGGGAGAGCTCTGGAGGTCTTGCCCTGTGTCTGGGAGGCAGTCTTCCAGATGGTGAATTGAGAGGAAGTTTTGGGAGGAAAAGGCGCTGAGCTCAGCTGTGTTGTGGTGAGGGTGTGAGGGGCCTGGGGACATCTGTGGGAAGTGCAGGAGTCAAATGACACTTGTGGCTGCATTTCAGGCCACTAGTGAACTGGGCACACAGACCTGGGAGTTGTCAATGTGACAGGGTAATTGAGCCGTGGGAATGATACTATCTGATGTAGACTCAGTCAAGAATAGGATGTGAAGACAGAGCACAAAGGATCTCCACCTTTGGAGCTTGTGGGAGTTGGCATGTCCTGAGCACTTCTCATCTGACTGCGCTTCTCTTTATGATGCCTTGCAGAGAAATTCAGTTTTTTACAAAATGAAGGACTGTGGCAACTCACCACCGAGCCGATGGGTGGGCACCATTTTCCCCAATATTATGTGCCCACTTTGTGTCTCTATCCTATTTTGGTAATATTTTTTTTAATTTTTTTAATTTGGTGTACTGTCAAATTGGATCTGACTGGCACAGGAGGAGTTTGCCCCTCCTTCTCCCGCGGAGCATCTGGTGGATTTGAACCTCGCACCTTCGAGATTGCCGTGAAGCTCCTAGGCTACCAGAGCTCCAAATTTTGGTAATTTTTGAAACATGTGAGACTTTT